TTACCTATGAATATTTCCCAAATTTGAGTAGAGGATTTCAAACCTAAACAATAGAACCAAATGTAAAGCAATAAAAACAAACAAGGTAAGCATGTAAAGGTGATCTAAAACCCTAAGGTAACCCCACTTTTAGAATTTCTCCCCAGCAGAGTCGCCAGTTCTGTGATACAGTGGGAGAACTGACTTGAGGTTTTACGTTTGTGTTCGCAAATGTTTTAGTTTAGCAAGAGTCACCACCGACTTTTTATTTTATCCAAAGGAAAGGTCAAAAAACACAGGAAATACCTTTGATATGTTTTCTTGGGTTCGGGGGGTAGATTATGAAAAGGGAAGGTGCTAGCACCCTTTTCATCCATGGTTTTCCATGGGCTCTTAGTTACTTGTTTAGATCACTTGCTTTTGCTTTTCAATTGTTTGAAATGGTGCTTTTGTGTGTGGTTTTGAAAATATTTTGAAAAGAGGCCTTTGTCTAGGCAACCTTTGTAATGATCCTTGTTTGAATATATACAAAGGTGTTTGTCTTTTGAAAAAATGTTTTCAATGTTTGAAAGTTTGTTGGGAAATGTTTTGAAATTGTGTTGTGATGTGTGTGATAGTTTGAAAATAGCAAGGATGTTTTGCAAGTTTGACCAAGTAACTAGGAGTTGTCTACCCCACTCAAAGATCTTTCCTACACATTTTTAACCCTTTGACATTGTTGTTTTACCATTGTATTTGGTAAACAACCTTGTGTTTGGATGTTAAACGGGACGGGATCGGGTCATCGTATGGCCATGATAACAATATTGCCAAGTATCTTAGCAAGTTTTTGAGGGACTAGATCATTTTTGTTAGGCAACCAAGATAGCATCATCGAGGGACTATGATCTTTTTGTTTTGATTTTGTCTTGCCAAGATACCTAGCATGCATACCATGGCCATTTTTTTAAGGCAACAAGTGGATGAAACCATAGGGGTGCTTGTGTGCATTGTGTTGTCATTTTTCATGCATTTTTGTCTTATATTAGGTCTAGCTATTTGTTTGATTTTTGGTTATCATACAAACCCTAATCTTTCTATCATGGCATATTTGAAAGCAATAAAATGCGTAAAAGTAAATTTATGACTATTACAACATTGATATGGAGAGGGGGATACAAGTTTGAATAGGGGGATATTTGCAAGAAAATAAAACCCTAATTCAACTATTACAACCAAATTGAATTCATTGTACAAATAAATAAATAAGACAATTATTTAAATATGCAATATATTATAAATATGCAAAATGTTTTTGTATTTTATTTTATGTATGTAAAATAAAATTATTTAATGTATCAAAAATAAGAAAATAAAAGATTATTTTTGGAAAGGGTAAAAACCCTAATTTTTGGTTTAAGAAAATATATGTATTATAATTATTTATTGATGTACAAGAAAATAAAATAAAATATATACAAAATGTTAAAAAAATAAAATATGTATGACAATATTATTTTTAAGTGTATAATATAATAAAACAAAATGTATAAGTATTTTAAAATTATTTGCAATTTATTTAAGAAAAATAAAGTATATATTATTAGTAAACTATTTTTATGCCTAAAAAAAATAAAAAAATAAAAATAAAAATGTAAAAATTAAGAAAACATTTTTAGTGATTTTTTATATCTAGAAAAAAATAATAAAAGTCAGAAATGAAAAAAGAAATAGAAAAATATACAAAAATAATCAAAAGGGCCAAGGGGGTGTAAACAACAAGCTAAGGGGTGCAAATAGCCAACCAAGTCAGGCCCAGCCCAAGGTTCCTCTTCATACCTGACCTTGTGACAAACAAACGCGCGCGTATGGTTCAAACTGGTAACTCCTACATTTGTGCTTAAAAACAAAAACTTGCAACATGAAAGTTATAGCTCTTGATCACACGATTTCAACCATGTAAAAAACTTAATCTAACTCTCAAAGACCAGAGAGAATTTCTTTGGCCCTAAATCTTGACCTAGTTTTTTCATAAAGTTCAGACATCAAATACTCCTAGCTCAGTTAACATAAATGAATTCTATGCATATGTACAGCACAAGGGCAATGAAGACTACATTTTTTATTCACAAACCTAAGCCTAATGATTCCTAAATAGAGAGATAGAAGTTTGAGAAATACCTGTTTCAGTCAAGCTCGAGTATGGCAATGCAGGGGTTGTGAGTGAGACCTGAGATACTTGTGAGCTTGCTTGAAGTTCCTTTGAGCTTTCCAAATGTTTAGCTAGCTTTGAACTTGCTTGAATCTTCTTGTAGAACTCAACCTGCAAAGTCAGAATTTGAAAATGGTGAAGTGTGTAAATGGAGTTACAGTGACTTGGGAATGGTTGGGATAGCTTAGGTAAGTTGTATGGAGTGTGTTGGAACTGGTTGCAAGCAAAACGCACGAGTGGATTTTGGTTTGGAAGTCAAAATGCAGAACCTGCCCTGTTTTGACAAGAACTTGTGTTTTGGTGTATTTGGGTGTTTTAGAACTTGATAGCTTGTGTTTCTGGCTTGGTATGTTATGCTGAAGTTGTCTCAAATGTTCACCAACTTTTGTTTTATCAGATTGCCAAGTTATGTGGTTTTTGCAAGTTGACTTGCTTTTGAAGTAAAAGTGAGAAGTGACAAAGACAAGGTTGTACAGGCCTGCATTCTAGCTGCACAAAGTTGGTATACTTTTACCTATCTTTATGGATGTGGTTTGCTGCAAAAGATTAAGTCCAATGCTCAAGACAAACAAAATTGCAAAAGTTGTGCTTTATGTAAATGGCATTGTTGCCTTTTTGCCAAAAATGGATTAATTCAATGTGTATTCTTCTAAAGCTCAGAAGAAAGCCTTAATCCATTGTGTTTGCATTCAATTTTTAAGTGTGGAAGGGTTTAAGGACCTGTAAACAAGTACAAGCAAGGCTGGACAGAATTTGCAACTTGTATCAACATGAAAAATGCCATGGACAAAAGTGAGAAATGACCATTTTCTTTTCTTCGATTCTCCCTAACCATAAATGATTTTGAAGAGTTATTGGACATTTTGGAAAGCTTGTAACATGCTCTACAATCCATATTTGAAATGCATTTTGATATTCCACTTGGAACTATATGAAAAATTGCCATGAAGATAGGTCAAAATCCTGCCTAAACTAGGGCAAAATTTCACTAAGTTAAAAGTTTCACGGACCCTTGTTCATAAAATCATAACTTGAGATCCAAGCTTCTTTTGGGAATACTTTGTGAATCAAAGTTGTATATTTTTTGGAGGATCACAACTTTCATGTTGTAAGTTTTCTTTGAATCCAATTGCATCATGGTGAAAAAGTTGGGAAAAGTTGGGGAAAATAAGATATTTTCATAACTTAGAAAATTTCTAAGTTATGAAAATTTTCCATTTTAAACCCTAATTTTCAAAATTAGGTTTGTTGGTGAACAAGTTTCATGTTTTGACACATCTTGATGAAAAGTGACCCTTGGCACTTGATTTTGACCAAAAAGTCAAAGTTTGACTTTTCAGTGTATAGTTGATTTTTAATCAGTTGACTGGAAAATTCATCTGTCAATCCAATGCATTTGAGATCTTTTGAACCTTGTGATTAGGTCAAGATGATTCCATTGAGTCTTTGAATCCATGCTTGAACCCAATTTGCCATTGACTAGGTGAAAAATCAGAAATTTCCCTTCTGCAGTCAAAACCCTAAAAATGACCATTTTGCCCTTTTGATGATCTGATCAAATTTCTTGGGGAGTCGTGGTCCAAACTTGATCAAATGGTTCATATGAGCCTATAATGTTGATGTGGATCAAAAATTATGAGGTTTGACTGTAAATTTGCCACAGTTGACTTTTTCTCAATATAGTTGATTTCTAGGTCAACTGTCCAATTGACTGGGCAAAAATTTGATTCAAGGCTTGAAACTTGGTATGGGCAATCTTATAAGTCCAACATGAAGTATGAAAGTCACATGAGGCATTGGAAGTCCAAAAATCCTTGTGCAAACTCAAACCATAATTTCAGGTCAATAGTGCAAGGAGGTGTCTTGAGCAGAGCAAACCCTAGCTTGGTCTTGAGTTCAAAGAGTCTTTTGAGGGAAAATCTTGATAAAATGAGAGAGCAAATTTTGGATTACAACAAATCCTCTTTGAAATTTTTCTAACTCATTACAAATAGTGATTGGGACTTTAACACATGAAAATAAGAGATAAAATTGAACACTAAATATATTAATTTTTCAGAATTTAAATCTTATTTGATATTTAATCAAATAATTTGATATGAAGTATGATTTATTTTAAAATATAAGTAAATATCCAGAAATAAATCATATTTAATTTAACTTTTGTTGTATCTAACACATGCATCATCTAAATATTCAATAGTTAAATGAATTTAAATGTCCAAAAAGAAATAAGCGAAGTAACTATGTAAAAGTTATTTTGACTCATTTTTTAAAACGCATTTACATTATTGTAACTAGATTCAAATTTCTTTCGAGAGCAATAAACAACAAAAAGACTCATAAGTATTTAATAACAAAAAGAATGTTAGAATTCAAAAAAGAGAAAACTATGTAGGTGGCAAGTTAATTTTTTGAGATATTTTAGAAATGAGTAAATGATTGTGTAAATTTTGTTAACCTATTCGATCCATAGAAATTAAACTCATCCTTTAGTGGAAGGGAAAGTAAGGAAAGAAGAATATGTGACAAGTGATAGTTCTTTGATATCTAGATTACAAAAGTACTAAAAGAGACATACATTGATACAATAAGTCACCAGCTAGTATATATATATATAGCTTGTCAACCTAACCATAAAACTCAGCAACCACACCATCTGAATGTGTTGTTAAACTACAACTAAGAGGACCTTACTTGTATTATTCCTTTTCTTTCTTCTAAAAAGGTTAGCTTCTTGTTTATGTGTTTATAATTCACATCACAGATAACTTAACCTATACATGATTTGTTTATTTGTGTGCATGGAAAAATAGAGGTAACAGGAAAAATGAGCTTGTCAGGAGGAGATTGGATGTGTAATGCTTGCCAGCACATAAACTTCAAGAAGAGAGATGCATGCCAAAATTGTGGATACCCTAAGATTGGAGGTCCTGATCCAGAAACTTATAGATATAACTGGACTGAAACCTTAGCAGGGGACTGGTATTGCAGTGGTATCAACTGTGGAGCTCACAACTACGCTAGCAGAACAAGCTGTTATAGATGTGGTGCATTGAAAAATGGTTACTCTTGTGGATTTGGTGGCAACATGGAACCCCCTGGTTGGAAAACTGGTGACTGGATTTGCTCTAGGTAACTTCACATTATAAATATTAATAGGTTATAGAAATACATTTTCATTTTCTTTGTTGCTCGTGTATCAGATATGGCTGTGGAGTGCATAATTATGCTAGCAGAACTGAATGCTTCAAGTGCAAAACACCAAAAAGTACCCTTCATTACTTTTTTCTTAGTCCCACAAAAATATTGTTGATATTCAACTTTAGATTCATTATTGATTTATATTTCAGGTAATTCCGATTGAAACAAGAGTTTCAGCTGTCACTCACTTCCTTCAAATAACATATTGTATCTTGAGTAGCATCACTAGGAAGTTTTGACAAAAAACTAATGAAAATCAAAATTTATTTTCTCATGTTGGATCATTCAGCTGTTTCCTATGCAATAGATTTAATTAACAACATCAGTGAAAATTGCAATGAAAATCAAAATGAATTCAAAGTCATGTTTGTAGTGGCTCTAAAAGGAAGAAATCCCAAGAATGAAAATAATTGAATGGATAAAGAATCTGATGCACCATTTAAAACCAGAAAAGCTACAAGTAAATTCCATGCAAAATATTCTAGCCTTATGCTTTGAACATATCATTTCCTATAATTGTTTTAAAATATTTCCTTGCTGCTTATCCACATCAGATAAAAAGATGCACCAGATATTCATAAAAGCATATAATTAAATGTATTTAACCAAAATAAAATATGATAAGTAAACATATAGCATATAACATTATTTGAGAGAATCAATATAAAGCCTCTTTATTGAGCACATTTTCGAAATCTCGTTGAAAAAGCTATAAGAAATTACAAAATGAGAATTTGGAAGGATTCAAGAAATAGAGAGTAGATAATGTGTAATTCTCGTATGATCAAGCATACATATATATATATATATATATATATATATATATATATATATATATATATATATATATATATATATATATATATATATATATATATATATATATATATATATATATATATATATGAAAACTTTAACACCTTATAGCTTACTTGCATCACAAGTAAGTGGAATAAACTACAATTAAATGATTAACCAACTGCATACTGCATAACAAAATTAAGTAGTTCAATTTAAAACAATTACAACCAATTCAATCTACACTAGACAAATCACAAATACATAGTTTCTCCTTTAGCTTGTAAAATGACTTGAGCAATTATGGCAAGTGTCCACCAATCGTTAATTAGTCCAGTGGTGATTAACGTTGAATTTGGTAGAGAAGACCATGATTCGATCCTTTGCATATGCGGTCAAGCTTCCAAGGCTAATACAGTTCTGATAATGTTTGATAGTTGTTTTAGCAAGCTATCAAAAAGAAAAGATGATCATGTTATAATGATGAGAGTAAACAAGAAAAACCAAATTCTAAAAGATCAATATCAAATGAACTGAATATGTGAAAGCCCCGTTTATGTGGCTTAGTGTTTTTGGTGCTAAAATATTTTTGAATTCATCATCTATTTCATATTTCTTTTAAAAAAAAATCCTCACAAGTGCTTAATCAATTAATATGTAATTGTGATCAATTAAGAAAGCAAAACTCAATGTCTAGCACATTAGAGCTTTCTTCTAATCAATTAAGGAAAAAAACTAACCTCTTAATCTATTAGGAAGTCAATTAATCGATTAGAGAGATAACGTGGCTTAGGTTTTTCCTACTTTGATTAGGTCTAATCAACTACCGTCGTAGCCTAATCAATTAGAGAGTGATCAACCCATGGATTTTTGTCCTTTTATGTAAAATATTTTCTTATATAAAAGAGGACTCTGCTCATTTCTTAAGAACACATTTTTTTAAACTCGCTATTTTCCTATATCACTCACTCTTTTTTTTAAAATCAGTTTTATTCATTAACCATTCTCTGGAATGATCTCTCTAACTTTATATCTTTACTTGATATTCTTTATTTTTCTTGTTGCCTAATATCTACTTCTATTCTCTTCTTTAAATCAATCAACTTAAAATTATCATTTAAAAACAAATATAAAAATAAATTGAAATTTCAGTTAACAAAATTCACTCCCTCTCATCTATTTGAAGTCATTTGATCAACAAGTGGCATCAGACTCTAATTTCTTTTACAAGACTAATCATCTTAGAAGATAGAAATTATGGATCTATGTACATGCATGTTTAATGTCTGAAGTAGTCAGATATCCATGATTGTTTTGATGATGACAACATTATGATGTGAAGTCTTCGTCTGAAGTATGGATCAAGACGTTTTGTTTGTGATATCAAGATGCCAAAGTCAATCTCTATGAGGATAACACCTAATGTCAAGCGGTGTTCGATGAAATACATGATGATCTATGGTCAAGAAATCTCTGATAATGGTGCCTTATCAATATGAAGAAGTCAAGTCGCAGATGAAGTGTTGAATAAATGATGAATTAAGTAAGAGATCTTGAACCTTCAAATATTGAGAAAAAGAGGAAATGTGAAAATTTAACTTATTTTGCAAGAATGTTTGGAAGATTTAATGGGGCTAATTGAAAATTTAAAAATGTAAAAAGTATGAGTATACCTTGATTATACCAAATAAAGATGAACTTGATATTTTTGATCAAGATGAAGTTTATGGTCTTTGATCAAGATAATATGTTCAATGGATTTGATGATTCTGACGGTCTTGGAACTTCTTCGAAGTTTGAGGTGAAGGAATCCTTGTTAGTCTTATCACCCTTGAGAAACTTGAGCTAACTCTCGTTTCAAGCAATTCGAAGAGATGAAAAATTGATAGTGTGATGTCGTTCCTTTTAAAGAGGGAGTTTCTCAAGAAATCTTGATAAATTTTTAGCTAAAACACTTTATAGAGATTAAATAAAAAAACTATAATTAAATCCTTTAGAAAGTAGTCCTTTACTCACTTGATAAATTTATTTTACTATCACTAACATTTTTATTTTGAGATGATTTTGATTTTAAGAAAAGATTGCCAAGGCAAAATGAGAAAGTAAGCAATGAGATGCAATCTTGGTGAGAATGGTTAGGTGCTTTTTGAAATTCAAAATTTGCACCCTATAATCGATTAACCCTAACGCCTTAATCGATTATAACCTTAAAAAGGTATGCCGCCATAAATCAATCATCAATATTAATTTCATCAATTTCTTCAATTGATTATAAGGCCATATATTTTTCTCTTGACCCTCTTCATATCATCTTACATTCTCATTTTCTGCTTCTACCTCTCTATTTGATTTGTTTTTGTAAGCTTGTGTGAGTACTACTCATGTTCTTCGTTTATCATTGCACCAAAAAGAATTAGAACATCCAGAAGCTCTTCCGGTATAGAATATTTCTCTAAATACTTCTCATATCTAGACTAAGAAAATAGATTCAACAAGGATTATGCCATCATATAAATCCTTCCATCATACTTCTAATAGGTGAAGGTTTTTGAAGACGACAAGTTCTTCAAGATGTTCGATGAGGAAAATCTCAAAAGCTTCATCAGAGATGCACCGAAGGAGATCTATCTGAAACTCATAAATATGTTCTTCAAAAATCTTAAATATGCAGATGGAAGTATTACATCTGAAATAAGAAAGTATCACATCTCTTTATCTCTTAAATAATTTTTTGAGATTTGCAATCCTCCTTGCACCAAATCCCTTTATAATGAATCATATCAAGGTCAAGATTATTTTGTTATTGCGTCTCATCTGTTGTTGTTAGATCCAAATGGTAGTGTTTATTTTCCTTGTCTTATGGGTAGTGTGCACCAGATATTCGTCTCATCCATAATGTGGTAATTGTCAAAATTTGATGTTGTCGTAACTTGGTTACTAGCTAATGAAATTGAGACGAATTGGGACAATGATGTGATCCATCATATGATGGGGAACAAGGGAAAAGTTATTATGTGGTTGATATATGATAACTTTCTAACGAAAAATCTTGGATCACATTGTCTTCAATGTTAAGCATGAGGAATCTTTAGAAATTTCTACAAAGATTGGAAATGTTGCATTATGGAAAGTATAGATAAAGATCAACAATAGAGTGTTGAATCAAAATCCTCATAGACCTAGAAGATACGCTTAAGGTCAAGAATTTCAATAGCAAACACCTGAACAACTAGGGTCTTAGCTATAGAGGATTTTGTTTACAAAATCTCTCAAACTCCTCTAGCTCAAGTTGTCCCCCACACTCTCATCAAAGAGCAAAAAAGAGCCAATCAGAAGATCAACTATTTGGGGTGTCAACTCACTCATTAAACACTTCTATTAATGTTTTCAGTGGTGATAATGAGGGCATTGAGTATTCTTCACTTGGTTGTTTGCTTGTTTTCCTTCCTTGTTGCATGTTTTCTTTTCCTTGCACTCTTTCTCTTTGTAACCCTCTTTCCTTTTAAATAAATGATGTTTTAAATTCATTTTAAATGCATCATTACTTTAATTAATTCCTTATTTATCTCTTTCCTTATTCTTGATCTATGTGCTTGAATTTGTTTCCTTATCTGGTTATTTCCTTTAGTCGAAAAAATTGAGTAGTCAAGCTGAATAAAAAGGGTGTTTGAAGAAGTCCAACAATGATACTTCAAATTGAACCACACCGTGAATAGAGTGACCACACTGACTTTGAGCCCCAAAACTATTTGTTTCCTTTTTTTTACTTCTTATATCCTACCTAAACACAAACCCCGTTATAACCCGAAAAGACCTCAAAAAGTGTGTGTTGTGTGTATGTGAAATGAAATGAGAATTTATCCAAGCTTATGAGTTGATATTGCATATTGTGAAATTTTGAGTGCAATAAGATGACATGTGAAGTAGTACTTCTATGTGGAAGTGTTTCGGAACAATCAAATATGGAAAGCAGGGACTTTGAAAGAAAGAGCAAGAGCGAGTTGTGAAAGATCTCAGTAGTATTGTAATAAGCATTGAATTTTTAATTTTTTGGGGGCTGACATGTTTGTTTTGGCTTGAACATTGCTTGAGGACAAGCAACAAGCTAAGTTTGAGGTTGTAATCAGTCACTATTTATACTATATCTTATGTCACTTGTTCAGTAATAATCTAGGTAAATTGTAGAGCCTGGGCATATTTTGTTATCTTTTAAGTTGGTTTTATGTACCGTTAGTTGCTGAAGCGGTAAAGCGGCAAGCAAAAATAAGTATTTATTTAGTTTTATCATATAGTCTCCACATGGATTAGTGCTACTTAATTGTTGTTCGAAAATTTCTCCCGTTTATGAGTTTGGGGTTGAATTGG